GTACAATTGCCCAACGAGATTGGAGGACACCAAAGGCTCTCTCCACATCCTTCCTTGCAGCTTCTTGCATTGTTTTGAATAGTTTTCTTTTTGGATCAGCTGGATGTGGAAAACTTTTCACGATTGTAGCCCATTCAGGATATGTACCATCCGCGAGATAATATCCTTTATTGTATGGAGTATCATTCACCGTGAATATGCATTCAGGAGAATGCCCTCTCAAAACTCATTAAATAATGGGGACTGATTTAGTACATTGATATAATTGTTGGAACCCGCAACCCCAAAATATGCATGCCATATCTAGAGGTCTTTGCGATGCAACTGCTTCCAACATGATTGTCGGACACCCTTGATCACCTCGGGTAAATTGACCTTGCCATGCAACAGGGCAATTTTTCCAGGGCCAATGCATACAATCAATACTTCCAAAAATGAGTTGAAAAAATAAAAAATCAAGAACGCTGAGATGAAGATATTTTATATGGATCCCAGCACTATGTCGGAGGAGGGGCGAGAGATTTGGAGGAACCGTTGTGAAGAGATCAAAATAAAATATAATTTGTAGGCATCGTCGTTTTTTATTTAATATGTGTTTAGGTTTTATAGTTTTAAATTATTTGGTGTTTAAGCATTTCATTTTCTAGTTTTGGTACTTTTTAACTGATGTATTTTAGTCTCGTACTTTTTATTAAATGTATTTTAATTTCGTTTCATTTTCATTTTAATGTATTATTCCTTGTTTTTAGTGGATTTTTAAATTTGTTGATAAAATTATATTTATAGATAATATATATATATATATATGATGTGGAAATCCATTAAACTCATTGGAGTGTTATGGAGTGTGGGTATAAAATGATAGAGTTGTATGGTGAGTGAAATGCTGATGTGGCAGTCCATGACACTCTGGTAGAGTGTCATGCACCGGAGATGCGCTAATGCAAAATAAGAGAAAGGATGAAAAGACCTAAATACCCCTCTTAATAAAGTTAGAGAAGAAAGAGGGAAGGATGAAATTCATAAATTTTGGAATTTAGTAATATTCAAATCCATAATTTACGTATCTTTAAATTCATTTGATATCCATCAGGAATCTCATTGCCTTCATCCGCCATGGAAGACCTCCACCTCTCAAAATCCATCTTCTTTTCAATTCTTCCATTCTTCTTCATCTTCATCTTCTTCTTCAAATCCATCTTTTCCATTTTCTTCATCAAACCCACCAACAATTTTGCTCCCAGATCATACCCTCTCATCGGATCTTTGTTCTTTATACTCCAAAACAACCACCGTTTCATCCAGTGGACGTCGGACTACGTCAACAATAGCCCTACTAAGACCGCCGTACTCCACCGCCCTCTCGGCCGTCTCCGTGTCCTCACCGCCAACCCTGCCGTCGTACGACACATTTTGAAAACCAACTTCCACCTCTACCCGAAAGGTAAGACCGCCACAAACAACCTCTTTGATTTACTCGGCCACGGAATCTTCAATATCGACGGTGATGGGTGGAAGTTTCAGAGACAAGTTTCAAGTCACGAATTCAACACAAAGTCTCTGAGGAATTTCGTCGAACATGTGGTGGACACTGAGCTCAACGACCGTCTCCTACCCATCTTCGCCACCTCCGCCGCTACCGGAGGGTCCGAAACCACTGTTCTTGACCTCCAAGATATACTTCAGAGATTTACGTTTGATAACATATGCAAAATCGCATTCGGACATGATCCTGCTTACTTGCTGCCGTCGTTGCCGGATGCTATATTCGCCACCGCCTTTGAAGAAGCTGTTATGATCAGCACCGGCAGACTCCGATCGAATCTTCCATTGTTATGGAAACTTAAACGGATTCTCGACATTGGGTCGGAGAAACGGCTTCGTATCGCCGTCGGAGTCGTTCGAGAATTCGCTATCAAAATCACGAAAGAAAAGAAACAAGAACTGAAGCAAAAATCATCAATCGACTCCGTTGATCTATTATCCAGGTTCCTGACCTCCGGTCACTCCGACGAAAACTTCGTCGCCGATATCGTCATTAGCTTCATATTAGCCGGCAGAGACACCACCTCCGCCGTGTTAACATGGTTCTTCTGGTTGATCTACAAGAACCCCAGAATCGAAAGTGAAATTCTCAAAGAAATTAAAGAGAAACCAGAAAGCCTAATTTACGACGAAGTGAAAGACATGGTTTACACTCATGCTTCCCTCTGTGAAACCATGAGACTTTACCCGCCGGTGGCCGTAGATGGGAAGGAAGCAGCTGACGACGACGTTTTACCTGACGGAACCGTCATGAAGAAAGGGTATCCGATATCGTATCACATTTACGCAATGGGAAGGTCTGAGGAGTTGTGGGGTTCCGACTGGTCGGAGTTCCGGCCAGAGAGGTGGTTGGAGAAGGATATTTCAGGGAAGTGGGTGTTTAAACCGAGGGATGTTTATGAGTATCCGGTGTTTCAGGCGGGTCCACGTGTCTGTTTGGGGAAAGAAATGGCGTTTTTGCAGATGAAGAGGGTGGTGGCGGGTGTTTTACGGCGGTTTAGGGTGGTTCCGGCGACGGATGATGGCGTCGATCCGGTTTACGTAGTTTACTTCACGGCGAAGATGAAAGGTGGGTTTCCCGTAAGGATAGAAAACAGGGATGAGATCAAATGATTACGTCGTCGTTTGATTCTTGGCCGTCTATGTAGTCATCAAAATTATTTGTTTTATATGAAAATGATATAATTATAATATGGTTTTGAATAAATCGTTATTACGCATTATGAGTGTCGGGTTGCTTACTAAAAGTTATGTTAAAATATACCAATTGAATCTTGTTTGATGAAAAAAAGTTATCATTTAATGATTTTATAATTTTTTAAATGATTTTGTATCTTGGGTTTTCCTTAATCATTCATCGTTCTAATTTTATTGTAAACAATTACCAAATAATTATATTTCATTTTGCATTATATCATGAGAGTCACTTAATCATTCTGACTACTTAATCATTTTGTACCAAACCATTCAACAATTGTCAAATAGCCCTTAAGACTTGGTTTGCATTATAACGTGTTATGACATGTTATGACACGTTACAATGCATTCTTTTGTAAGGTGTGATGTTACTTTAATATATATTTAAATCATAAATTATAATTATTTTCGACAAATCATGAGAACTAAATTTGTAGTTTACTCTTGAGATAAACATTTGTTGTACGGGGACCTTCTTTTTATAAATTATGAAATTGTGATAACATTGAGAACTTGTGCATCATGTATTATTTCATATGATTTTTTACAGCAACGACTAGGATTTACAATATTTATTAACATATTTGTTTCACAGTTTGTTAGTTTCACATGTACTTGGTCCATAATGCAAACATATGCAAAGATTATTTATGTGTTTGTGAAACAAAAAATACACGTCAAACAGTTTCACCTTATGGAAAATACATATGAAACAAACATATTATAAAACAAATATATGTTAATCAATACATTAATATTATATTTAAACATAAATACATCATGTGAGAGAAAGAAAACTTTAAGATAGATCTCGGATGATCAGCCATACTGGGACCGAGATAGCCCAAACTCCTACAAGAGGTAGCAGTGAGGAATTTTCCATAATGGGCGAAAGCCTGATAGAACAATGCCGCGTGGAGGCAAAAGGACCACGGGTCGTGAACTTCTTTTCCATAATCCATGTATATTTAAAACAGGTTGACCTCTTTACTTCTCTTACGAATCTCAAATTTTTTGAAGTTTTTAGATGATTAAGCTCATATATATATATATATATATATATATATATGTATGTATGTATGTATGTATGTATGTATGTATGTATGTATGTATGTATGTATGTATGTATGTGTGTAATCATGTAGAAGATGATTCGAATGAGAAAACTAAATATTGTGGGAATGTAAAGTTTTAGGGGACGTTTACCAAACACTTATTCCGGTAGGTGTTACCAAGTCAAATTACCTTATGAGATAAATATGATAATGACCAATAATTTTACCCGCTAAGAGAAAATGCAAAGACCGAAAATCCTACCCAGTAAATGGCGACAACGACTCTTACCATGTTAGCGCTTACCCAGTAAATTGTTGCATATTATACCATTTTAGTGGACTAAAATTTTATCCGATAAATATCAATATTGAATTTTACTGATAAATCCAGATAAACATTTGATAAACGATATCCTATAGGCTTAAATTATTGCAATCTTTATCATACTAACCCTCTTTTCTAGAAGAAGGAAAGATATATGGATTTAAACAAAACGACACTTGTTATATTTTACTTGTACGAAACCTAAACCTTATTAAAATAAAATGATCCATATTTAATTTGGTATAATTAAATAATTTTAAAAACAAAGTAAATATTTAAAAAAAAATCTAAAAAAATCCAATAATTTTTTTTAATTTTAAAAGGTTTATTTCTAAAACTATTTTTTTTACATGGAAAAATCATTAAACTTCTCTTTTTAAATAAAAAAACTATTAAACCTTTTTATTTTAATTAATTAATTATCTGAACATTTTTTTAATAAATAAACCTTCGTATTTTTAGAAATTGGTTACCTACATTTTTTTAACATAAAAAAGGTACATTAAACGACTAGTAAAAGTTCGACAATTTGTTTTTTATTTAAATCAATGTCTTAATCGTTCAAAATATGAAAGTTTAATGAGTTTTTCATAAATAAATAAAAATAGTCCAGAGACTTCATAATTAAAAACGAGAAAGTTTAATAATTTTTTATTCAAATAAATAGTTTAAAGATTAAATTATTCAAAATGAGAAAGTTTATTAGGAATTTTTCAACTTTTCCACGTATTAAATTAGAGTCAAACTAATCTGTTTTTTTTTTTAAACCAAAAAAATAAATACAAATAAACCAAACGGGGTTGATTATTTTTTTGTTCTATATGTAACCACTATAAGTATAAGAACCGGAAAAACCACCCTAAATTGATTCCTATTTATTTGTCTTCATCGCTAAATTAAATCGCCTGTCTCTTCATGATCCAATCCCTGTCCAAATCTGTTTCTACATCTCATCCGAATATCAAATCCAGACATGTTTCATCTTTATTTCTCGGTCGATGGGTTCACTTATTCAAATATGCGTTTCGATTTTCCCAAGCAGATCCAGATTACGTTTCAAAGATTTGTGGTTTTCCCCAATAAGATCTAGATATGTTTCGAAGATATATGGTTTGAGGGGTTTTTGTTTGAATTCGATTTCAGTTATTTGTGTTATGTTTATGGGTGGAATGGGTCTGCCGTTAATCGTTATTTGATTTCAATTCAAGATTTTTGATCTATTTATGGATAAAATCTTCACGAAATTTTCTATGTTTGAATATGGTTTGGGTAAAAAGACAAAAACTGAACGAGAGGATGATCAAAGTTACAGGACACGCGTCATTGTTTGAAACTAAAGAGACAGTTGACACCATTTCATTGGTGAGAGAAAAAGAGGTGGGGTCTGCTATTGATAAAGAATAAAGTAAATTATCTTGGAAAATAAAAAGTTAATTGAAATGACTAAAATACCCATATAGACTAAACTAACCGAATTAACAGCACAATTTGGACGGAGTTAGTGTCAGGGACCCAATGTGTTATAAATCAAAAACCACATGGATGTAATCCATAGATATTTTAAAATAAGGACCAAAGTATTAATACATATAAACCAGAGGGACCAATCATGTAATTTACTCTTGTTTATATTAATATGTAATTTTAAAAATAGTTAATTATAGATTTGGTCCCTATGGTTTGGTAGTTTTTACAAAAATGGTATCTAAACTACATTTATTACAGATTAAAACTCGTTGTATGTTGTTTTGTAACAAATTGGTCATCCCTCTAACTGCCATCCAGTTCTTCCATTAATCTTGAGGGCGTTTTCATCCTTTTTTTTTTATCTTTACTCGAGGGGTCAATTTCATAAAATCAAACAAACCTAAGAGATCGCATCCGTGATTAAGTTTAAAAAATAAAAAATATTACTTTTTTTATATTTTAAGTTTATTAAATTAATTAATTATTATACTTTAATATATACTAATTATTATCCTTTAAATTTATATTTTTAAATAATATATTTTCTCTTCAAAAGAATATGTATTACGTACGTATACATAGATGTGTACATACACGAACACACACACACACACACATATATATATATATATACACACACACACATATAGTGAGGTTCAACCGTTCAGACGAAGCTCATCTCCATCAACCATTAGATCAATTGAGTAAACGGGTGTGATGAAATGGACTTTTATAACAATATTTTTTAAATTATGATGAGAAAAAAAAACTATAAACAAAAATCGAGCAAAATAAATAACACCACATTGATATATTAAAATATAATAATTAAGAAATTGGTCCCTTTAGTAAAGAAAAAGAAAAGGAAAAGAACAAAACTACCTTGAAGGTTAACGAAGAAACTGGATGACCGTTAGAGGAAAGAACTAACTCGTTACAAAACGATATACGACTAGTCCTAGTCTGTAATAATTAAAGTTCAGGGACCATGTTCATAAAAATAACAAACTTCAGGGACCAAATCCATAATTTACTCTTTTAAAAATCAATATAAACATATTAAAATAACTCAAAAGAAGAAGCGGTTGAAAAAATAAGGCGGTGGTACGGAACTACCCCTGTCTTACATGAAGGGCATGATCGACCTGCAAGCTTTTGGCTTTACAATTTCCCCATATTACCCTTTTAAGCTCCCCCATGAAATATGCCTTCAATAATCCAATATCATTAAACCTAATCTTTTTTTTAATCAAATAAAATGTAAAAATATAAATAAACGAAAAGGGTTTAAATATTTAAAATTTTCAAAATATCAACTTCTTTTAATTAAAAAACTTTGATGTAACATCCAGACTAACTGTACACATATATCGTGTAAGATTTCGTGCTGGTTGGGGAGGGGAATAAATGTTGTCTTATAAGAGGTTTGATACATCTTTTATTATACGCGTTTTAAAACTGTGAGTCCATATGTATGGATAAAGAGAATAATATATAGTACGACTAGTATGAGATATCAGATCAGAGAATCAGACTGATGTATCAGTAAGGACACCGGACTCCCAAGGAGGTTGGATTGTAATATCCCACATTGATTAGGAAAGAGAACAAATATTGTCTTATAAGGAATTTGACACTTTTTTTTATCTGACATGTTTTAAAACTATTAAGTTGATGAAAATAATTAAGTGAACAAGTAAATAAAGCTATGAGACTGTTTGACAGTTGCTGAATGATCTGGTACAAAATGATTAAATGGTCATGATGATTAATAAACTCTCATGATATAATGCAAAATGAAATACAATTGTTGGGTAATTGTTTACAATGAAATTAGAACGCTGAATGGTTAAGGAAGGTTTAGAATACAAAATCATTCAGAGGATTTTAGAATCGTTAAGAGACATTTTTTTTCCGAACAAGATTCAAATCTTAACGATTCAAATGATGCATTTTAATTATTAAAAGGTAAACAAACAACCTTTGTGTTAAAATCATTAAAGCACTTCAATTAATCCACATTGATGTATTGTCTATTTTTTATCCTCTCCCTTAATTGATATCTTAGTTAAAACACACTGCCTATATTCTAAAATAAATGTCCATAATAAAAAAGACACACAATTTAGGAATGTGTAACTATTATACTTTTTAATTAACAAAAGAAAATTTTTACCCTTAATTAGAGAGAGAGAGAAAGATATTTTATCCACCTCAAAATCAAGGGTAAAATGTAAAAAATAGACACTTACTTTTGAAAGTTTGACATTTATTTTGAGACAAACTAAAATAGTAATACAGACACTTATCTGTGACCAAGATTCTAAATGGTGTGAGGCAAGGTGTGGTGGCGAGGTCAAGCCTTAAGCCTTAGGAGCCACAACGAGGCTGCAACATTTTTCAAGGTGTAACCTATGGCAGCAAATCATTAGATCATATATAATATTATACAAATAAACATATTTTTTTTTCAATTAGTCAACGAGTCGGTGATATTGAATATTTAAATTAGGTTATATATTATAAATTAACAAATAAGATATTAAAAAAGTAAAAGAAATCAAATATTGCGTTACAAAAAACGTGCATTAGGCCATGTCGTGCCACATGCTTAACATGGTATGAGACACAAGCCTTAGTCCATGACGCGCCACAAAACCTGTTACAGTGAGCTTTTTAGACACCGTTTGGGACAAAGGCAATATTACAAAATCGCTAGGGAGAAAGTCTGTGATGAAATACAAAGCCATACGTGATTTCGGAAACTTAGGACTAAAGAGTCGTTTACCAAACGCTTACCCAGATAAGCGCTTTACGGTAAAATTCAATACCACCACTTACTTACCGGGTAAAATTTTAGTCTACCAAACCGACATCGTATGCAACAATTTACTTGATAAACGCTAATTATGGTAAGAGTCGTCGTCATCACTTACTGGGTAAGACTCTCGGTCCTTGTATTCGCTCTTACCATACAATATTCTTGGTCCTTACCCTATTCATCCGGTAAGATAACATGACTTGGTAAACACTTATCCGAATAAACATTTAGTAAACGACCTCTAAAACAGAGTTTTCACAAGCCTACAAGCCTGGATGAATATGGTAAGGATGATTTCGTAATTTACTCCAAGTTTAAATGAGAAAGGAGGGAGTAAAGGGAGGGGTAAAATAGGGATCAAGAGAGAATGTTAAAGAAGAGAAATTTGGGGGTGACCTAAATACCCTCTCTTTTGTAAGGAAAAATTAGAAACCCTAATTTTCGAGATCCAATTCTTCGTTCCCCAATTGTGCCCCTTGTTTACCCTTTTCATCTGCCGTTTCCTCAGCCCTCTTTCAGGTATTTCACCTCTCACTTCCCCCCGCCAATTTCAACCCACTCTTCTTTCAAACTCTTTTGCAGGTTTTCTTCTTTCTTTCCCCCAATTTGGCTGCTCTTCTCGCTCGATCCCTTTGAATTTTGGTTCGTATTCTTGCTTTTTATGTGTTTCATTGTGTTCTTATGTATAATTTATCGTTTGGTGTTCTGTTTTGCTACATAATGTTGTTGTTTAGATCTAAATTGCCAAAAGAGCTGCACCCTTTTAATTTTTGTGCGAAATTGTATCCTAATTTGTTGCAAATTTCATGCTATCATGATCGTATCTATAGTGTTCGGTATCAGGTTTAATGCATCTTCATGAAAATTCCTAAATTCGTATGTTTCTGTGAAGTAGATGTCAATCTGATTGACATTCTAGGTTAGGGTAACTGTTTTTCTGGAATTGAGGGTATAATTTGTTGGTGTTAGGTTTCTGTTTGAAGAATTGAATTCAGTGTAGGGGCTGTTTGGTTTTCCATTAAGTCTGATAAAGCCTTATGAGTGGATTAATCGCTCCGTATAGATCGGGAAGGGTTTTTTGGGAGGGTTTTTACTTTTTTTTGTATATGAAGGAGCTTATTTTTTAATTGGAAGGGGCAGGTTTGGAAAAGAATTTGGCTTTCTCCCTCCTAGAGCTTACTGAATAAGCCACTACCAAACAACGAAAAACTAACGAAACAACCCCTAAATCTACTTACTTAGAGGCTATTTGGTTGGTTTTCCATTAAGCTATCTGTATAGATTGGGAAGGTTTTTGTTTGGGAAGGTTTTTGTTTGGGAGGGTTTCTTCATATATGAAAGGAGCGTGTTATTTAATTGGAAGGGGCAGGGTTTTGGAAAAAAATTTGGCTTTCTGCATAAAGCTCCTTCCTAGAAGCCTACTGAGTAAGCCACTTTCTATATCATTAAGCCACTACCAAACAGTTATGTATAGCTGACCAAATAAGCTGTGAGTCCCATTAAGCTCATTAAGCTGCTAACGAAGATAGTTTCATTATTATGTATGTTAATTCATGTAGCTGCTCATGGTTGATGAATTGAAGTTTTAATTTATATGTTGGTATGATTTGATTATTGTGGATTATGATAAGAGATGATTTTGATTGTGAACTTTTGTTGGAACAGGCCGTTTCAGTATTTTCAAGTTTGATGTTTCTTATATCGTGGATTCTGAGTGTCTGGTTGAAAGTATGGTGATGGAAAACCATGAGATGATTATTGGTACACGACCGGATATACCGTTGGTTCAGAACCAACAAATGGGATTAAGACATAATCAGAATTTGGTAATCGGGCAGAATCGAAATATGGGATTTATGCATACCCATAAGCACGAGATAAAAGTAGTCGAGAATGATGATCAAGATATACGTTTAGAACACGGCCATGATCATGATCATGAATTGTTACTAAATCATGGTAATAATGGAGATGCGACTGAGTTTGATGATGATAACGAGAATGGATTCAATGAAAATGATGAAGAAAATGAGGATCTTGATTCGGGTATCGATCAAGGACAAGTCAAAAACCATGATTCCCAGATGGTTCTTTCTGATCAAACTCACGAATTAGGTTTATCAGATAACCGTGGTTTAGCCGTTGCGGAGAATCATGATCTTGATGAAAACTTAGAGCTTGTGGTGCACCAGCATCCGCACCCTGAAATGGGTGTGGTGCCAATCTCGGTTCAACGGCCTGAGCTCGTGGTCACAACACCGGTGATCCAAACCCGAACCTTAGCTCCTCCCCCGAACTACGAATTGATGGTTGGTCAAGAGTTTCCCGATGTTACAAGCTGCCGTAGGGCGTTAAGGCACACCGCTATAGCTCTTCACTTCGAGATACAAACAGTTAAGTCTGATAAAACCCGTTTTACCGCCAAATGTGCTAGTGAAGGCTGCCCGTGGAGGATCCATGCCGCTAAGCTCCCCGGTGTACCCACCTTCACGATTAGGACCATCCATGCCGAACATACGTGTGGCGGTATCGCGCACCTTGGTCATCAACAGGCTTCGGTTCAATGGGTTGCGAATTCTGTCGAACAACGGCTTAAAGAAAATCCACAATGCAAACCGAAAGAGATACTAGAAGAGATTCATCGTGTTCATGGGATCACGTTATCATACAAACAAGCATGGAGAGGGAAAGAACGGATCATGGCAGCTCTTCGGGGATCGTTTGAAGAAGATTACCGTCTTTTGCCGCAGTACTGTGACCAAGTTCGACGCACGAATCCCGACAGCATTGCATCCGTTTACGTGAATCCTGCTGACAACTGTTTTCAACGTCTGTTTATCTCATTTCAGGCTTCGATTTACGGGTTTTTGAATGCGTGTAGACCGCTTCTTGGTCTCGATAGAACTGTTTTGAAGAGCAAGTATCTTGGGACCTTGCTTTTTGCTACGGGATTTGATGGAGATGGCGCATTGTTTCCTTTGGCTTTCGGAGTTGTTGATGAAGAAAACAACGAAAACTGGATGTGGTTTCTTTCCGAGCTGCATAATTTACTGGAAATGAACACGGAGAACATGCCGAGGCTTACAATCTTGTCGGACAGACAGAAAAGTATCGTTGACGGAGTCGAAGCCAACTTCCCGACCGCTTTTCATGGCTTCTGTATGCGCCATCTTAGCGAGAGTTTCCGGAAAGAGTTTAATAACACGATGCTGGTCAACCTTCTATGGGATGCAGCTAATGCACTTACGGTCATGGATTTTGAAACGAAAATCCTCGAGATTGAAGAGATATCCCAAGAAGCCGCTTATTGGATTCGGCGAGTTCCTGCTCGGCTATGGGCTACGGCATATTTTGAAGGAACCCGGTTTGGCCACCTGACGGCTAACATAATCGAATCTTTAAACGCTTGGATTCTTGAAGCCTCCGGGCTTCCGATAATCCAAATGATGGAATGTATTCGTAGGCAACTAATGACGTGGTTCAATGAGCGGCGCGAAACGAGTATGCAGTGGACTTCAATACTCGTTCCGACTGCCGAGAGACGGGTTTCCGAGGCCATCGATCGTGCACGAACTTATCAGGTTCTTCGAGCAAACGAGGCTGAATTCGAGGTCATTTCACACGAAGGAACCAATATCGTCGATATCAGAAACCGCTGCTGTTTGTGTAGAGGATGGCAGCTTTACGGTCTCCCCTGTGCCCATGCCGTGGCAGCTCTCCTCTCGTGCCGCCAGAACGTTCACCGGTTCACCGAGAGTTGTTTCACAGTGGCGGCTTATCGGAAAGCATACTCCCAAACAATCCATCCGGTCCCTGATAAAAGCCTTTGGAAGGAAATATCAGATTCAATGGCAACATCACAAGGCGAAGGTGGTGGTGGTGTGACCGAAATAATCATTAACCCGCCAAAGTCCCTCCGGCCTCCAGGAAGACCACGAAAACGGAGAGTACGATCGGAAGATCGAGGACGGGTAAAGCGGGTCGTGCATTGTAGCCGATGCAATCAAACGGGCCATTTCCGGACGACGTGCTCGGCGCCGATATGATCGATAAGGATCGGTATGTGCAGAGATTAGTATTATTATGTGTTCATTTGATTTTGTTAATAAGTTGAGATGAATGTGAGTTTTGATTAATTATTTTACATAAGTTTATGGTTTATTAGTTACAAGAGTATATATATATATACATATAGATATTGGTTAAACTTTGCAGCATTGTAGGGAGTGTAGATGTTATTTAAGTTTTTATAGTAATCAGTTATTACAGTTTTTTGGTTTCCTTTTTTATCCATGTTTTTTCAAGTCTTTCTGAACTGAACTGAATTGCTTATAAGTTTGAGTATCTCATACTTTTGACAAATTACATGAAAAAGTAATATATTTTTAATTTGAGTTTTTATTTTGGTATCTAAGATGTAAAATTTTAAACATTCAAGTACCTGAATAACCGGTTACCATGTTGATGTGGCGACTGATGGGATGAAATTGGGTTGAATAGCAAATAATATTGAGTTGGATACCACATCACTCGCCACATTAGCATGGTAACCGGTTACTGGAGTATTTAAATGTTTAAAACTTTACATCTTAGGTACCAAAATGAAAGCACGTTACCAAAAATGGGAATCAAGTTAAAATACGTTATTTTTTCATACAATTTATTCTTTATTTATCATATGCTTATTGAGTGTGACTTACCTTGTGTTGTGTGTGAACATCACAAGATTCTAGAATTTTACCCATTAACAATTTTTTGTGTGAACATGACAATGACAAGATTCTAGAATTTTACCCATTAACAATTTTTATGAAAGGGGAAGAAGCAACTTGTTTGGGGTTTAAATAAAAAGGAATAAATCTGATATTAAGGGTGTGTTTTAGTAATTTTGTCTCATTTTCCATGTTTTTGTTCGGTAAAAAAAATGCATTTTTGTCTCGCTCAGGCATACCTTGTCCGAGTATAATGTTGTGTTAAATGTGAAACAAGTTTTTGTACTGTCATATGATACTTACCAAATGCATTGCTAATATGATCATAGATAAAGAATCTTGACATACTCTTTTCACACTTCAAAATAATTGAATACACATAGTACTAAAACTTAACCAATGCGGCATAACTTAAGTGGTTGCCACTACATACAATCTTAAGGGGTTGTATGGTTAATTTTTCATTAAGTCATGTATATATAAAGTTGTCTGTGTAGAATAATCTATCTATATAGATTGAGAATTTTTTTTGTTTGGAAAGGTTTTCGGTAGATGGTGGGAGCGCATTTTTTTTAATTGAAAAAGACAAGTTTGGGAAGATTTTATTTTTTGATTTTTGTGTAAAGCTCTCATAGAAGCTTATTGAACAAGTCACTTCCTATATCAGTAAACCACTACCAAAGAGTCATGTATAACTTACCAAATAAGTTGTAAGTCTTATTAAACTGCTAATAAATAGATCTCAATTCATGCATAAATTGTTCCTATGATATGAACATCTAGAATTTATATTTTAAGAAAAATATATAACAAGGGTCGGGTTTCGTTGAGAATGAGCGTTAACGTGAGAAGCGTAACAAGGGACGTCCACCCTTGAATGCATATTATGATAAGATGCACCAAACACCGGATCGATCTCCATATCAAACGTGATTCATAGATGAGTTTGAGATTAAAAGTGATGTCCAAATTCATTCTTACACTTAACTCTTCTTCTTACACAATCGTTCGGCTGGGTAACAAAATGTTATCAAGATTGTAAATGGAAAAAATAAACATACAAAACGTCTTCTTAAATTATCCGACCACACATAACGATTTTTTACACTTCCATCTCCATCTCTCTCGCCCTCATTTTCATCTCTTCTGCAACTTTCAGATCCAAAAATTTCCTCCAATTCCCAATCTTCATCACCTTCCTCCTCAATCAATTTCAATTCCAGTTCCTATTTCAACCTCAAAACATGGAGAGGTGTAAAGAAATTGCATTGGAATTAAACCATTTTTTGTCCTCCAAACTCTTCTACTTTTTAGATGAATACAACGACGACAATAAACCTACCATTATCCAGATCATCTTAGCATCTTCAATCGGCTTAATCATCGCTGCCGCTATGCACTTTCGTTTCAGAAAGGTTCGCCATCATCGGATCATCCCTTATATTCGAGTTTCAAGTACCGGTCAGCCATTGAAGCTCGAGAGGTTCCCTCATTATGTAGGTATAAAATTAACCATCCAGAAACGATTCTAATGGTTGGCTGTGTGTGAAATTGCGTGTTTATGGATGAATAAATGAATGATTGATTGATTGCAGCTAGGCAGATGGGGTTTGTTGATAAACGAGAATGCCCTTATCTCTGCAAATTAGCTTCTGCTTATATCAGGAAAGAAGAAGGATGTGAGGAAGATATGTATTCCTTTTTTGGAGATGATCCAGGTGCAGATTCATTGTTCATAAAACTTGTGGAAGAATTTGAGAGATGTATTCTCAGTTACTTTGCATTTCATTGGAGCAATGCTTCTTTCATGATCAGTCAGGTACTATTAACCCTCAAAACACCTTTGTTTATTTCAAAATCTGGCTTGATAGTACGTCGAAGTATGTTCTAATTTGAGCAAAAGATTGATTAATGATCCTGACTGGGTCCCACATGGGTCCCGCCACCTAGAACCACATGTGAGGACGTATTTCTGAACTAGTTGAGGCTAGCGGAGTGGTTACTGACCACGTCCCCGAATGGGTCCCGCCTCGTAGGAACCACATGTGGCGACGCATTTCAAAGCTGGCTGAGGCTAGTGGAGTGGTTCCTGCGTGATTTGATCTTGAACTTAAACCTGTTGTGTATTTGAGTAAAGAGCACGCCCGTGTACAGGGGCGGACCTATGTATATCCGAGTGGGCTCCCGTGCACTAACTCAACTTATTTTCGTAAGTAGGATTTTTTTAGATATGAAAGATGCATCCGCTAAACTTTGAAGGGTGCTATGAGATATTAGAAAATATAAGGAATATCAAAACAAAATTACTCCCCCCCCCCCCCGGGGGCCGGAAAGTCCCTTGAAATCAACAAAAAAACTTAAAAATCTCTCGAAACGGTGGAATTCGGCTAAAAAAGCATTGGATGACTTTGTATGCCGTTAATCGACTTTAAATGTGCACTCGCTCGACAAAAAATCCTGGGTCCATCACTACGCCGTGGGCGTCAAATATGTCCTAATAGACTTCATTATAAGATTAAATTAATAGGACCAAACAGTCGTGTTTCATATGTAGAAGTGTTGTAATAAGTTAATAGAACGTTTTTTGACGTCTCGACAAGTTTTTAAGGACACTTTAAAATAAAACGTTCTATTAATCTCTTTTGACATTATTTGAAAAATTATCAAATAAAAAAGTGTTCTATAAAAACATGACATTTCTAAAAAAAACATGGTATTTCTCAAAAGTGTCTGTGTAAAAAGACTAATTGGACATTTTATTTCAAAATTGTATTATAAAATTGTTAAGACGTCCAAAAACGTCATATCAATAACACTTTTACATATGACGAACAATTATAGTTTAAATACTATTTTATGACATCCAGATATATTTGGTGTCTTGTAAAGTCAATTTTATTGTATTATGACCTTTTTTTGTAAGGGTGTCCGGGCTAAAGCCCGACTAATCCCCTGCAAATTTGGAGGCTAAACATGGCCTCACTTAAATGTCGCCAACACTCCCCTCCCAGGGCTCGAACTCGGGTTCATGACTATGCCATGCTCAAGCCTTTACTACTAGGCTGGAAGGTGTTTGACCTTTTACATAATCTCAATTTCTTGCATTTGAAATTGTAGGTGTTGTATTATGACCTTTTACATAATCTCAATTTCTTGCATTTGAAATTGCAGGTGTTGGGTCCTGATGCACATGAGCCCAAAAAGAAGCTCAAGAACATAGTCATGCAAGCCACAAGGTTCATTTTGTGTTTTTATTCACCTCAGTTAGAGTTCCACATCTACTAGACTTGAACCATTTCAACTCTGGGTGTGTTTGGTATCTAGACCGACAAATTAGTTGTACATCGTTTGATAAGGCAAAACTGGATAAGACAAAACAAATAAAATGACCAATTTACCCCTAATGAGTTGTTTATATTTTTATATATTTTGATTAATTTATATAATTTATTAAATTATAATAAAATAAATACTTTTATAACAAAAATATATCATTAGAATGTTTCCATCAAAGACGATTAAAATGAAAAAAATAAAAAGTTCAGATAAGTACCGCATAAAATATATTTTCTATATTATTTATTAGTAGTATTTAATAAATTATATAAATTGATCAAAATATAGGAACCGTATAAAAATAATATTTTGAGGACAGTAAAGTGAAAGTTTAAAGAGCATAAAATACGACAAAACAAAATTTAAATATTGAATAAAATGTAAAGAGGAGGTGTATTTGATGTTTTAGAAGCGAATTAGGTTTTATTTTGAGGTTATCTTGGTAAAATATAGATATGTTTCACCTAGGTTGAACACGTCTTTTCCACTCTGTTCCACATAAAACTTATGTCAAAATGTGGAACAGTGATCCCCTGTTTGGTCCAGTCTAGTCCAATGTACCAAACACACACTATATACGTTGGAATCTTTCTTCTCTTCTCGAAAACTCTTGTGAAGAGTGATCTCATGAGATTCCACATATTCTTACATGCTAACAAACCAACCATCTAGGGGTGTTCGTGGTGTGGTTTGGGGCCAAACCGCACCGCATATGTGGTTTGAGCATTTTCCCAAACCGCAAACCACAAAAAAATGCGTTTGAACATATCACACTCTATGCCTACAATCCAATAATTGTAAGTTTGAAAATCCATTATAATATCAATGATAACTTGACTGTAGTCAAAATATAAAAATGAAGATTTCCAGTACATCCAATTCCCAAATACATGTTGCATGATTGAAAATTGTCTAAGAAGTAAAAAAATAAACTTCAAACTAAATTGGAATTGAACGTGTGAGTTGTGACGTGTCCAACTGCATCGCATACTGCGATTTGATAAAAATGCAAAGCACACAGCGGATGTTCTAAACCGTGCCGGCGGTTTGGATGAACACCCTGGACCATCCATCCAAATCTAAACGCTATCTTGAATTGAAATTGTTTCAGGGAACAAAGATTTGAGCGGGTGACGAAGAACCTAAAAGTAGCAAGAATATTCACAACTTTAGTGGAGGAAATGAAGGCGATAGGCCTTGTGTCTGCAGACGATTCGCAATGTACTCACGTTATGGTTCCGATGGCTCATAAAGATCGTAGTCCTCTTCTCCTTTTTATGGGCGGTGGCATGGGAGCCGGAAAGAGTACCGTTCTTAGAGATATTCTTAAAGAGTAAGTCCTTTCAATATAACTAATCATGACATATATGAAACAAGTAAGGCCTCGTTTACTGACACAAATTGGGTAACTGCTAACCGACTGAAAATGGTTCACTACAACAAAATTGAGTTTGTAGGACGCCTAAAGTGTTTGAGTGTCCTAGTAGAGTGCCTTATAGAACGCCTAAAGTGTTTTAAGTGTCCAAGTAGAGTGTCTTATTAGACATAAGTTTATATGACCAAAAAATAAAGCGTTTTATCTAAAAGTGTTGCAATTAGTTTATAGGATGCTTTTGGGTCTTGTAAGAAGTATTTTAGAATCTTTTTTAGAATAAAGTGTCATATATCACACAATTTAAAGAAGTGTCGTATATTCTCAAAAATGTCACATAAAATAGCTAATACGACACTTTATTTTAAAAAGTCCTAAAAAACTTGTTACGACGCGAAAAAGAAGTCCTATATACTTGTTGTACCAATTTTAGATAGGATATTTTATTCTTTGGTTCTATAACTTCAGTCCTATAAAACATTTTATTATGACACTTTAGGGCCTGTCGTTAGCAGCTTATTGAGACTCAGACTCCCTGCTTATTTGGTAAGCTATAATGACTGTTTGGTAGTGGCTTCATGATATAAAAGTGGCTTATTTAGTAAGCTTTTAGGGGGGTTTTATGCAGAAGACCAACTTTTTCCCATACTTGTCTCTCCCAATTAAAAAACACGCTTCTTCCATCTATGAAATACCCCCCCCCCCAAAACAAAAACCTTCACAATTTATACAAACAAATTAATCCACACAGACAACTTTATCCATACAGGACTTAACGGAAAACCAACCAAACAGCCCTTTAAACACTTTAGGCATCCTATAAACTCGATTTTGTTGTAGTGGTTGTTTACCGGGTCAGAAAGCAACCCCTTTCTTGTTGCGTCAGCATCTCGGTCACTATATATGTGGGACAGTGTGTGTTGGTAAACAATATCCCTTCTTAACGGGTAAGCACCTCTTACCCATTAAAAGGCTAAAAAAGTAATTAATATGAAGAGTGAGGTTCAGGAGAAAAACCTTAAAAAAATGAAAACTGAGGAACACCCTAATAACCATCCAGCTAAACGGTATGCACATGTGCGTACAAGTAACTGAAGATGTTTCTTGGTTTCTATGCACATGTGCATGTTATGCATATGTGTATACCGGACAAATCACTTGTATGCACATGTGATATTGGTCAGATAAATGATTATTAGGGTGTTCCTTAGTTTTTCTTCTTATTTTTTTTGCGGATTCCCCTGAACCCGACTCTTAATATGAACTTATTTATGATGTTGGTGTTGAATGTGAACAGACCATTTTGGGCAGGAGCATCAGCAAATGCTGTTGTGATAGAGGCAGATGCCTTCAAAGAATCAGATGTCATTTATAGAGCTCTTAGCTCCAGAGGTCATCATGATATGCTTCATACAGCTGAACTGGCATGCCTCTGTTTCTCTCTTGCAATCAGTTTCAGATAGACCAGTTTATAAGACTTAAGTTTATAGGACCAAACAACTGTGTGTCATATGTAAAAGTGTTACAGTAAGTTGATAAGATGCTTTTGGGAATCCTAACAAGTTTTATATGACACTTTTGAAATAAGACATCCAAACAAAAAAAAATATTAATATATAACTATCCGACATTAGCCCTACTTAAAATATTTTTAATAAAGAATTTTTGAATTGCAATTAATTTTTACAGCGAATTACCCTTTTAGTCCATGTAGTTTACTCAAAGACTGATTTATTCCTCCTAACGGTTACTAATCGATGGTGTTAACTCCAGGGACGTTGAGTGTTATGAAATTGAAAAGTCCCTTCACTCATCTTTTTATATGACATTAGCTGAAAAAATGTCTTATAAAACAACCACCTTGTAGGACATCCTCAAAAATGTCCTAAAAACTTGTTAAAATGCCCAAAAGTGTCATATGACCTTATTGCAACACCTTTAGATGGGATGCACAATTGTTTAGTCCTATAAAACAGTCTATTAGGGTATTTATACATATTTGGCGTCCTATAAAGCCGATTCTGTTGTAGTACTATCAGCTGACAAGAAAGGGTGTAAAACTGATGATGATGATATTTGATTGATGACAGGTGCATCAATCATCGACGGATGCGGCATCATCCCTCCTCGTAACAGCACTAAACGAAGGGAGGGATGTGATCATGGACGGAACCCTCTCGTGGGTTCCATTTGTTGTGCAAACGATAACAATGGCAAGAAACGTTCATCGCAAACACTACCGAATGGGACCCGGTTACAAGGTCCACAGTGACGGAAGCGTTACCGAAAACTATTGGGAACAACTTGATGAAGAAAGTGAGCTAGTAGATGGTAATAAGAAGAGAAAACCATACAGGATAGAACTGGTTGGTGTTGTTTGTGATCCTTATTTAGCTGTCATAAGAGGCATAAGGTAAATCAATCAATTAATATTTTTCCTTTTTATATACTCCCGCCGTCCCAAAATAACTGTCCACAATGAAAAAAACATACAGTTTTTAGAAATATGTAACGATTACACCTTCTGAGGCCGATTCAAATAAGATGGTTAAATATCATGAAAAGGTAAGAAATGAAGGTTCACATGTGAATCATTGAAAAAATCTATTTGACGATGCATATGAAAATGTAAGAAACGATATTTTAATGATTCACAATTGAATATTTTCTTCTTACTTTGTCATGATATTTAGTCTTCTTATTTGAGCCTACTACACTTTTTAGTGAAAACTAAATGACAATTTTACCCTAAATGATAGAGAGTAATACATCTCTCAATTTGATAATTCAGGGTAATATTGGAAAGTAGTTGACAGTTTATTTTAGACAAACTAAAATGAAAATGTGCACACTTATTTTGGACAAAGGGAGTAACGTCTTTGGAGTTCAGTCGGGTTTAAGTTCGACTGTGTTAACAGGAGAGCCATCATGTGCCGAAGGGCAGTGCGGGTCAGGTCGCAATTAACGTCACACAAGCGATTTGCCAAAGCTTTTGTGACATATTGTCAACTTGTAGACAATGCAAGATTATATCTAACTAATGCTTTGGAAGGACCACCAAAGGTATATACATATATGTATGTGCGTGTGTATATATATATATATATATATATATCTGATTTGAAGTTTCTGAAAAGGCCTTACAGCGTATGACACCAAATATGCCTAAATGTCTTAATAGATTGTTAAAAAACAAGTCTTTTATGGCACTTTTAAAATAAAGCATCCTATTAGTCTTTCCATATGTGTGCATGTATGTATGTATGTATGTATATATGTGTGTGTAGGGTCAGGTTCGGGGAAAACCTTAAAAAAATGAAAAACTGAGGAACATTCTCATCATCATTCATCTGTACGGTATGCACATGTGCATAACATGCACACGTGCATAGAAACAAAGAAACATCTTCAATTACTTGCATCCACATGTGCATACTGTATAGATAAACAGTTATTAGGGTGTTCCTTTTTTTTTTCATTTTGTTGGGGGTTATTCCCTAAACCTCCCTCTATATGTGTGTATGTGTGTATCTAATTTGAAGTTTCTGAAAAAGCACAATAAAGGACTCTATTAGGACATTTTGACGTCTTATAAAGCCAATTTTGTTGTAACAAGGCAAGATACAAAATGTATGATATGTTGCTAACGAAAAAGATAATCTTTAAAGCTGATAGGATGGAAAGACAAGGAGAAGACGTTATTGGTTGATCCGGATGAGATAAAGATTTTGAAAACGTTAGAAAGGTTGAACGAGGCAGCAGACTCGATATACGAACTTTATCAGCAGCCGAACCCAGCGTATGAACGCGGTGCGGTTTGGAAAGACATTGTTATGTCGCCTTCGAGGTTAAGTATCCAGAAAGAACTCATGCATTCCATTCAGAAAGCCGAAGCCTCCAAATAATAAGGTGTTTAGTTATGAATTGTTTTGAACTCTAAAATTAAGTTAGAAAGCTCTTTCTTAACTGTGGGTGTTCGAGCCAACTTGTACGCACCTCAACTAATTACAGGATCCTAGAAAACAACCAGAAAAAATCTCCAATAGCCTTATAGAACTCGAACCGGTAACATCTGATGACCTCTAACAAAGAGCCTCAAAGGCCCAAGTTAGAAAGCTCTTTGATGGTCATTTGCAGAAAACAAGACATGTGACATTTTTGATCAACTTGATGAATTTTCTAAGTTAGAAAGTCAAGATATGGCTTTAACTTCAATTCAAGTTTGTGTCACTTTTCTCTTCTTCATCTTCAATTCTAGAAAGATGAGATAAGATTGGTAAATTACTAAACTATTCATGTAAATTATAGTCTTAAATCTTTCACATGTCTAACTTAAAATATGTTTGTTTTTAAAAAAAGAACTTTTATTAGTCTCTTATGTCTGAATACTTAAGAGGGTGAGTCATTCAAACTGTTTGTTTTTTTCAATTTTTTAGAGGCAATTGTGTTGTGTTCACCTTTTATTTGATAAAAGGTAAACCAACATTTTATTTGCCTCTTATTGTTTCTCCAAACTCTTAGCAACGGTGTTTCTCAATCGATTAAACTTAATCAATCATTTCTCTCAATCGATCCTCACATGTCTCAATTGATGTATTTTAATATGATTTAAATGTGTTAAATACGGTTAATGGCATACTTTCGTTTAAATGAATGCAAATTATATAATTTAGATGTAGATAATTTAGATGTAGATTTTGGTAATAATGATGAATAAATATGTGAAATTGTATAAGTTTATCTATAAATTAAACACTATAGTTTTCTAATGGATAAAATAGACAATTTAAATAAATTCAGACATTTACCAGTTTACAAAAACAAACAGTTTTATTGATTCAAATTTCATACTTCAGTACCAACTCTTATTAACCAGAATTGAAATAAGACTTTAGACTTGAACACCAAAAGCCACCTTACTCACCTTTACAATTCAGTCATGTCCAGTCTCGTCAATAATAGGTTACTTGACAATCCATCTTAATATGTTTTATGAGCTTTTGTTGCACCAAGAAATAAACAGTATATTCAGTAGCAGAAACGAAATTGAAAGTGAGATCAGTAACCTCGCCTTCTATCATACAGGTGGTTATGTAGAAACAATCGATTACTTCATATTTGAGATATAACGTTGTGTTGGTATACATGACAAGATAAAGAACATGATTGGAACGACAATTAAATTAGTAGCAGACATGATTGAACAAGAAAATAATGCAGTTTCCGTCTACTCGTAAAATTTAAGGACGAAAACTGCACTTTTCAACAAATTACAGGGACTAAAAGCGTAATTCCACAATTCAAAAAAATATGCACACACATTGCAACCCCCACTTTATCTATTATTCAAGTCATTGTCGTAACACACGCCATTCGTTTCCAAATCAACTTCCACCACGCGCCACCGCATAAACTCCGGCGAACCACCACAAAATCCAACTTAAAATGAAACAAACAAACAAGTTTAAATGCCGATTTAACCAATGAGAGTTTTTGATGATCGAAGAAGACATCAAGATCCAAAATCTCTAAAGCCTTTTTTGGGTTCATCTAACAAAGAATCAAGTTACACCCACCGACGATCATTCGAAAAAATTTACAGTACAAAACAATACCAAATTCTAATTAATCATTTCTTCCCTTTCTTCGCCGCCGCCGCCGCTTTTTTTGGTGCCGTCGTCTTCTTCGCCGGCGACTTCTTCACCGCCGGTTTGGGAGCTGCCGCGGTTCTTCCGGGAGTCGATCTAGTCGACGTCCTAGCAGACTTAGCCGCTGGTTTAGTTGGAGCCTTCGTCTTCGGTTTCACCGCTGCTTTAGGTTTAGCAGCTGGTTTAGACTTCGCCGCCACTACAGCTTTAGGCTTAGCAGCTGGCTTAGCTTTTGGAGCCGCGGCGGCTTTAGGCTTAGCAGCCGGAGCTTTCGCTTTTGGTTTTGCTGGAGCTTTAGACTTTGGAGCCGCAGCGACGGCCTTTTTCTTAGCCGGTGATTTCTTCGCGGCGGTCTTCGGTTTTGCAGCAGGCTTCTTCGCAGCTGTTTTAGCCTTAGGCTTTGCAGCCGGTTTCTTCGCCGTAGTAGATGAATCGGCTGTTGCTAAGCTTTTCTTCGACGGCAGCTTGTAAGAAGCCTTGACCTTAACCAGCTTACCGTCGGCGACCGATTTCTTCAATTGGTTCGATAACAATGTCTTGTAATTCGCCGGAAGATTCTTGTGTTTATTCTCGATAAACTTCGCGATTGCCGGCGAACTCGAGCCGGTCCTCTCCTTTAACGTAACAATGGCGTCCTTAATCATCTGAAAAGGCAAACAAAAAACAAAATCAGATCAACGATTCAATCGACCAAATCTATAAGAATCCAAAACCTAATCGAAATGCGATTCAAACCTCAAAGTAAGGTGGATGCAATGGCGGATTCCTTTTCTTTGGAGCTGACGATGATTTTTTCGCTTTCTTAGTAACCTTTGCGGTTGCTTCCGCCGCCGACGCCGCTGCTGGTTCTTCCGTTGCCATTAAAACTAGGGTTAGGTTAAGGTTTTCCGGTTAGTATCAGATCGGCGATTATAAACCGAGATTTGCGGGTAAGAGAAGATGATGAGAAAGCTGAGGACTTAAATAATCCAACTCTCGATTTTGATTGGTTAATTGAGACATCACACGGATCGGCGGGTTATATCATATTTGAATGTAAGCCGTTGGATGAGTTAAGAGCAACGGCTGATAAACCAAGATGAAGCAAGGCATGAGATAGAGTTTGAAGTTGAAATTAGGGTTTTGAGTGAAAATTTGGTGTGCTTCTATGATGAATTCATTTGGGGATAACTTGAGCTACACTTTGTGGATTTTGGTGAAATTTTGATGGTTTTGTTAGGAATTTTATTGCCTTTTTTGGGTATATTTACGTTTGTGTTCAAGATTTTCCTTGTGAAAAGTAATCTACTTCAAATCTTAAGTGGTCGAAAAGACAGCTTTTTCATATGTATTTAGAATTTCGAGTATTTTCAGTCAAACAACTGTGGTCGTTGTGAGAGTTTAATGACTTCCCATATGCGTCATAACAGACTTCGTTTTTGGAATTAAGAAATAGGAAAATCGGATGAAAATGAGTTCAGTAATGATAATTTTAATGTGATCAAAGATGAACGTGTCCAAGTGTTAAGTTATTAGTCAATGTAATACAATACTAAGCATCGTGTATCTTTACGAGTAATGATGATTTAATGTGATCATAGATGAATGTGCCCCAAGTGTTGAGTAATTAGTCAGTGTAACACAGTACTAAGCATCGTGTATCTTTATGTTGAAAACTCTACGTATTTGTGAGTGGCATAATTACGAAGCACAAAAGGTTGACTTAGTCGCAAGGCTTGTGCAAATCAATCACCATAAAAAATTAAGGACTCCACTGTTATTCACAAATTTTCAAACGGAAAAGGGTCATCCGGTTTTCCAAAATCAGTAGTCGCCTGATCATTTACATAATCAAGGTTTTTCAAATGATATCATCGTAGTTACTATAGACTACAAAGGACTAGATAGGTCAACAAGTCATACATGAGATGCAACACATCTAACACACAATGTTGTCGGTTTGACCCTTTTAACCATAATCTATACAGATAACGCCAGTCAAGATTGTTTATTGCTTATCCAAGTATGACAAATCGTACCTTAACAATTCTTTAGCTGAAATTGTCGTCTGAGTATCCAAGAACTTGAACCTTAACGTTGATCTTCGACGACTTGTTAAATGTGTTATCTCTAGATCTTGTTTAGGGGTTTCTTTTAAATCTTATGAGATACTTATACTACGTTGATTGACTCTTCATTTGCCTCATTAATATGAAAATTTCAAGAGCCTCAAACTTTTCATATGCTTCACATTTAAAATTTGTCTGGGTTATTAAAGCTACTCATCTATTTACCTGCCATCACTCAACTATCATAAAACGAAAGACAACAGGTCAAGTACATAATTCTTACAGCGTTCGTTAGGTTTACTTGTTGCTTTGGTTATTGTTTTATTGTCTCATTCTTCATCGATGAATTAGTAACGATCAAAAAACCTGTATTTGAATGTCTTTGACATTGGAATACGTTTTAAATTTATTTTGTTGAATACTTTTAATATATGGATGTTACATCTGTGACTTGTTTGTGGGTTCAAAGTAAATTCCCATGCTATTTGAAAATGGGTGTCACATAAGAACGGAAACAAGGGGGATGATGGGCGGGAAATGCAACCCTAGTTGCAGAGTCCTTGCCCCTGTCCCGTGTGATTTCTCAAGGTTTTTGGTTGGGGTAGAGATGGAAATTTTACTCGTAGGAACGGGTGCCTGTGGGTACCTGATCCTAACAGGACGGAAATTTCCCACTTTGGTGGGTAACGGGTAGGGACTAGGATTTAATTTTTCATTTCATTTAATATATCTATACAATAGACTTGAGATCATGTGAGACCAAAGATTTTTCGTGAAATCCGTAAGACCAATTTTTAACTCTTGGATTAGATTTACAATCTGAACATTAATCACAAAATTGCCACGAGACTTCTCAATAATCACAAAATTGTCACCGTGCAACTTTATATCATTAGATTATTAGCTTATAAAGTTGATCAATGAACATAAATTGGTCTTACGGGTCTCACGAAAAACTTTTGCTCTCACGTGAACCCAACCCCTATACAATATGTGTATATATATCTATACTATATTATAAAGCATTTGACAAAAACTCTTAAAAACCATTTTTTATGAATGAAGTACTGTATAGTGATGCATATTACTTAAAATTCAATATTACAAGTAAAGTATGCATAAGTACAACTTATTAAAGCTCCATGTTTGAATTCGTGTAACTAACTGCGGATAAATATAATCAAATAGAGGATAAACATCTCATTTTAAAATATAAAAAATCTAAAATATAATCAGGATAATTATCGAGTTCTAACAAAATAATTAATTATTATCTTTATAAGAAAATTATATTATTAAGCCAAATATAAATTATTTCGTTATTGAACATAAATTGAATTACAATAAAAAATTACACAAAAAATAAGAATTTTAAATAGTTAAATTGATACTAATATCGATATATTTTTGTCAATTTTTATACGATATCTTCAAACTTATATTTTATTCAAAAATAAAAACATCGCTTTTTCAAAATTATATAAGATCATACTATAACATCGACTAAAATAAATAATAAAATAAAATATTAAAATCAAGATATATCTCGCTGCAATGAGCGAGTACCCTTCTAATATATATATATATATAGGGGCCTATTCAAGGGAGAACTGAGTTGTTTGTGGTAACTGTGAGAACCAATCTTAACCATAAATCAACGGATAAATAAGAAAATTAGTAATTATGGTAATTTGAGTTAAAATTATAATTAGAGGGTATTTTAGGTATTTTTAAAAAACTCCTCTCTCCTCTCTCCGATCTCCGGCCTCCGGTGAACATTACTCCGGCAGGTACCAATGTATTACCAATTGGGGTACCACCATGTACCACAGAATTTTCACTCGTCTCCTCCTTTCCCAATCCATCTTCTTCGGCCACTCTGTGATACCCATTACCCAAACCAATTGGGGTACCACCATGTACCACAAAATTTTCACTCGTCTCCTCCTTTCCCAATCCATCTTCTTCGGCCACCTTGTGATACCCATTACCCAATGTATTACCAATTGGGGTACCACCATGTACCACAAAATTTTCACTGTCTCCTCCTTTCCCAATCCATCTTCTCCGGCCACCTTGTGATACCCATTACCCAATGTTTTACCAATTTGGGTACCACCATGTACCACATAATTTTTACCCGTCTCCTCCTTTCTCAATCCATCTTCTCCGGCTACCCCTGCATTGTTGCAGCCACCATCTCCTTATCTCCCTTCTCCCTTTCACCTTCAGCAACACACGCACGCACCCCTGCACCAYCGTACGAACTAACACAAACACAGGGACRAGGAAATAGGCAAAGCACACCCGAACCTTCCCCTTCGCACYGCCTCTGTCATGTCTCGTCTCCGTCGTCTGCCTCATGAACCACTCCAGCAAGTCCCAGTCAATGCTTTGAAGCCATCAAAGAAACAATCAAAGCAAAACCAGAAAGGGTTGTTGATTTCATAGGGCCAAAATCAAAGAAGAGAGATAAGGTTTTCTAATAAAGGAGAAGATGAGATGGTTGTAGAAGGGGAAACCGTCGATGAAAAAGTAGATGGGGGTGGTGGGGGTGGCCGGAGAAGAAGTAGACGAAGAAGAAGAGTACCTAAAGCATCTAGGGTTTTATAATTATAACATTACCAATTTACCATTTATGTTATTTTAGGATATAACATTAATTATTTAAATGATTGGCTCATATTGGTTCTCATAGTTACCACAAACAACTCAGTTCTCATTTGATTAAGCCCCTATATATATATATATATATATATATATTATAAAATGACGAATATATTTGATTTTCAATATTGGTAATTAATGTAGTGACGATTTATTATAGTTTTAGTTTTAAAACACATTGTTTTTATTATTATTTTTACTAAAAGAGTATCCAACAGGTTCCCCGAACCCATCGAAGATTAGTCGGAGAGGAGGGGATGCATTACCCACCCAATATCCGCCCGTTTCCATCCTTAGATGGGGGTGGAGAAGAATTTATGTTAGGTATGACGAACCTCCTAGGTACCCATTTGATATAAAATAATACATACATACATAAGGTCAGATTCAAGGGAAAATCGTATAATAAAAAACTAATGAACACTCTGTAACTATCCATATGGAAGATATACATATATGCATACCTGTCATTTTAAGCAAGTATGCACATATACATACCGTCCAGAAAAACGATTTATCAGGATATTCCCCTTAGTTTTTCATATATTTTTTTTAAGATTTTCATATAATTTCATCAATGTAAAAGCTTTTACCAATGAAACAAGATGCCAATTTTGCATTAATAATTTAGAAAATTGTAACCATTTTCAATTGAAAAATAAAGTTTAAAGAGCAAAAAAAGATACTTGACCTAACATTCCATTAGGAAAGTAATCAAATTCATGATTCTCTCCCTTTATTTCTTACACATTTTACAAATGTAGTAAAATATTTATTTTTAAATTAAAATAGAACACTAATTTTTAAATCTAGAATAAGAGGTCGTTTACAAAACACTTAGGGGTTATTTACTAAATCTTATATTAAGTCTTGTATGAATAAATTTGTCTGTCTGTATAAATTTATGTTGTTGTTTACTTTTCTATTTGAATCAACAGTCTGAATAACATAAATGATCAATTTACCGCTGAGTATGAACCATGTGTTGTTTAAGAAATTGTTGTTCATTTTTTAAGGCAAATGATATTTCTGAAAAAATATATATATTAAAACATCAAAACATAAATTCATTGATAGCGCCCTCATTTCCATTCAACCAAACTTATAGAATACAACTTTCTAAGAAAGTTTTCACAATATTGGGATCATTCCAACTAATTTTAACACTTTTTTGTTGTTGTTGTTGTGTTTCACCCTTTTGTTACATACCTAA